CAGTAATTCCTCTCAGTTACATTACCCTTGATCACGCCCTACCAGGCCTCCTACACCCTCCTCACCACCGATTTGGATCACTTGTTTCCTTGTCCCTGGGTTTGTTAACACCACTACCTTTGCCCCACCTCCCCCTCTCCCATGTCCCCCTGGAACTGTCGGTCCCATTGTTTTCTCCTCCAGATTGTTCAGACAGACCTACGAAGATAATAACATGCACAAAAACAAGACAGAGCAAAACCAAGCAACAAAATAAAACAACAAACCAATGACAAAAAAAACAAAACAAAACACAACCAGCAAGAAAAGCTTGTAGCTAGTTCAAGGACTGTTTGTTGGCCTTTAGGAGTGTTTTCCAGTCCAGTCTGTTGGGGCGCCAAGCCCTGGACCCAGGTCTATTTTTGGTATTCCCTAGGGACTTCGTGAAGCAACTTTAAAATGGGTCAAATGGCAGATCAAATGTTAAGATACCACATTTTAACCTACATACATATGCCATAATTCATTTTACAATGCTATCTGCCTGATAACAAGGCTACTCACATCCCTCAACTCTGGTCAGAGTGGTTTCACCAGTGGTCCAATCTATTTAAGGACTCTGCAAATGGGTTTTGAGCTTACACTGTCATCTATAGCTTTCTGCAATCCAGGTGCTCATAATTTAAGCCCTGATATCATTTCCTCTCAGATTTGAGCTTTATTATTTGCAGTCCTTAGATAACACAGGCTGGTGTGTTTCTTCCATGAGGACTTAGTTGATCCCTCGCTTAGATGGCTGATTGTTTATGAAGACAAGCTTTTAAGACTCCAGGTGCTATTCTTTCTGATAGCCAGGCACAATATAGTTTCTTCACTACATTTTTCTATAGCATGCAATTTTCAGTGATCTCTTCGTGAATTATTCGAGCATCAACCAGGGCTTTGTCATAAGAACTAATTCTTAGATTGGGGCTAGAATCAAGTGATCCCCAAATCCTTTCCTATATCTATGGTTTATATATGTCTCTGGATCACTGAGGATCTGGAAGGTTTCTCAGATACCTCAGTTTTTGGCTTTGCACAATGAAAGAATTCATGCTGCCCTTTTATAATCCAAGTAGATTTTTATGAAGGACAGGACAAGTTTCAGGTTTTACAGTCTCAATAGAATACA